ATTAAAGATTCAAAGTAGACCTGCTCTTGTTTTCAGGGGAAGGCAAGTATAAGCAATCAAACAGAGAAAACATTACTATTGCGATAACCATTCAGAGACAGTTGGGAGAAGAAAGACTGGCATTGTGGTTAATGTACTGGGCTCACTTCAAGCTCTGCCACAGACTACAACTGTGCCCTTAGACAAGTCACTTAATTTTCTTCTTCCTTACAATGACAATGGTACTTCCCTACCTCACGGTGGTATTATGAGGATGCATTCCCTAATGCCCATGAGATTCTCAGATACTAATGCACTGGAAGCTATATAAGTAGTTAGACAGGCAGATAACAAACAGGCTGTACACTACATAGACCAGCCATGTGCACAATCAGATTCTAGGAAGAGGTAAAGGTATGTACAGTAGCTAGGAAGTTTACAGTAAAGCCAATTATGGTTTGACATGCATCTCCAAGATCAAGATAAGAAAAGGCTTTGCAGAGATCACCAATCCTTGAGTAAGTTCATAGAGGTGGAACCCAGGGCTTCCTCACAGATTTTGCACTTGTCTTCCACAAAGGAAAACTAAATGAGCCACTTACAATTGAGATTTAAGCTGAAAACTTGGAAGGTGGGAAAACAGTTCTATCTTAATCTTCTGCAGTACAAATGAGGCAGCTGGGGTCTGGACCCCCTAAAAACATACTGAGTCAGTGAATTTATTGATTCGGGGGGCCCTGCACCTCCAGGAAGCACTGGCATGTAGCCCTGTTTTTACTGACATCCCCATAAAGGGCCATGTGAGACAGGGTTCCACGAGTGACTTGTCAGTCCTCCTAACTGGTGCTAACTGCATGCACTTTTGGGATCCTGTGGGGAGACTGTGGGGTAATGTGGAAGGACTGTCAAAGAACAATTAGACATCAAGTCCTCATTGCTCCTTGTGCCTTTGAAAAATTATCCCTTGCTGTCCATGTTTTCCTAGCTACTCCATTTCTTCAGGTTTTGAAAACAATCCAGTGTAAGCTGGACAGAAAGCAAAGCACTGAAATCTTCCTTTGAGGGGTTTCTTGTTTGACTGGAGTGCATGTTATTCAAATAAGTCAGAGCAAAATTCAGTTAAGCTGCTGTTTGTTGCAGCACGATGAAACTGGCCTGTTTAAAAGCAAAAACGTCATGATGTTATAGACTGAGCTGCCTGCCAAGACTGGTAAGGAGCTGAATAACTGTCAGAAATAGACAGCATAATCAGAAACAAAAAGACTGATTTGGGATTGTATAAATCTAGGTCTACACATACATACTTATAGACAGTGACTTCACACTTTGCTGCTGTCTAACCCAGGTCCCTTCAATGGGTCAGATCAATCCCCAGGATCCAAATACCCCTGAACCCTATGGCAGCTCTCATGCCGAACCTCTGGATCGAAATTTTGTACACTCATTTCTCCATGTCAATCTGTAGCTGTATCTATTACAGCCTTGCAAAACTCTACTCAGCTCAGGCAAGTCACTGCTTTTTTTTAATGAGCTAGTAAATTATCTTTAGTTTTCCACATTCTCATCATCCTCACGGCAAGGGAAGGCAAGTAGATTTTGCAGTTAGGCTGGTAAATTTTTGTGACAGCTATGCAAGGCTGAAGACACACAAGATTTGTCTGCATGCAGATTTTTCACCTGTTTAAGTAAAGCAATAGAAAAAAAGATTTCATTAAATTGGTGAAACCAGCTAGCATGGACATAGTCATGCCAGCATAAAGGTGTTTATCCGAAACATACTATACCAGTATAAACACCATTATGCCAGTATAACTAAATCCACACTAAGGGATTTCCCTTCCTATTTAACTAAATTGTTTTTCCTACCAATTTAATTAAATTGGTGCAAAGCCATTGTGTAGACAACAAGCACACACACAAGTAGCAACAGGCTTTCTACCATGGAATTATCTACTACAGAGTTATCTTTTATACTCAGCTGACCTGCATTCAGTCCTTCTCTTGTATTTGCCTTTCTCAGCTATGCACAGATTATTTCACAGATGCTTTTTAACAGTGAATTTAACTTCTGCAATTCATGAAATCTCTCAGACACACAAACACACACAAATTCACCTACTACCACACTCTAAGTTGAATATGCCTCTCAGAACACCAAAACTCTTTTTGTCCAGGGCCCTCAGGTTACTGGCATCATTACAGCTCTTTTTTCCCAATAGCAAGTCAGGAAAGATGATAGAACCTGTGAGTGTGGCCAAAAGACTGGTCTCAACTGGTTCAGAGGAAAAAAACTGAGCTATGTCTTTTTTTTCTTGCCTTTAGCCAAAAGACCTGCGAGCATTTGATGTACAGTCAGCAGGTATAAAAAAATTATTGAAAAGGCTTGACTGCTCTTGGGCTATGACACGCTCATCAAAATCTGGACTGCAGCCAAGTTCATCTGTTAATGGACAGCCACAACCACGGCCCACCCCTCCCCCAACTTTTCTCTTCCCCTCCCTTAGTCTTCTCTGTTCTCTTACCTCTTTCTAGCTCCTAAAAACTAGACATCGATTACGTCTGTGTTTTTCCCTTTCTATTCAAGATAAACAAAGTGCTTCAAGTTCAAGGCACACCCTGGGACCCTTGACAAAGCAATCTATCATTCTGTCTGCTAAACCAGTCTGGCCACACTAAGGCTGAAGAGACTAATGCTTCCAATGTACAATTTTCCCTTTGTGCTCCTGCCCTATTACTACGAACCTCTTTTCTTTACTACCTTCTCAGGAGCAGATGTGCTTGACCACTTTGCCTAAGCCCCTCCTGGCAGAGGCATTTTTGTTTTGTTGAAAGCAACCTCAAGAATTAAAGCAAGGAATGAACACAGCTTCCATCCACCCCCTCCTCCCCAACTCCCCTTTCGTTCCCCACATCCACCAAAACCCAGAGCTATGTTTCCTTCTTCTGTGAAGAGTTCTTTTTAAAAAAAGTGAGTTCAGCCTTAAATTATATCCATTAATTCATTCTGACTTGCAATTAAATGCAAATACAGTTTTATAGCCAGCATGGAGTGTATTAATTTTAAGAGCAAATGACAAAATAAGAATGCAGTCCCTCCAAAAACAAATAATGAATTGCACTATAAATAATACTGGTAGTCACATTCATTAATGCTTTCCAAGTGCTTTGAGATCCTGGGTGGAAGGGGCTATAGATATGTAAAGTAATGCCAGATATGGTGACATGCCAACCTTGTCAGTGTCACACACTGTAGCTTTCCCCATTTCCTTGCCATCACCTGAGCACAATGCTGGGAAATGTTATGTCCTAGATTTATGTAGCCCTTGAAGTCAATGGTACTTTAGACTGACAAAGAACATCAAACCAAGTTCAAAAGGGTCCAAATCTGCAAAGTTCTGAGCATCTCCTGTAGGGCGTGGCATGCACACAACTCAGTTATGGAGGCACACCCTTCTTCCCAGGATCAGGTCCAGCTTTAACAAAAGTGGGATTTTTAATCTTAATATTATGCCCAATCCTGCTGCAATGCAAGTCAATCAGTTTTGCAATTTAGGTTGATGGAAGGACCATATTTGGTTCTCTAAAAACAGAGCACTCAAAAATTAATAGGAAACCACAAAATACAGTTTCCAAAAGGTACTTTGTAACAGTTAACGTGCCCATGTTGTAATGATCCCAGCTGCCCAGTTAACTCTCACCCCTTTCCAGGTCTGCACAATATTGCATTTGCCTGTCAGCATAAAGATCCACTGCAATGTTTATTAACCAACATGGGGAAAAGAGAGGCTTTGCTACATCCTTTGTTTCATTAGGACAGCTGTGTGCCATTCCCACCCCCTCCCAAAGAAATAATTAAATCCAATTAGGACCAGAAAATAATTTACATTTTAGTTCAATGTAACATGGTGGGAAAAAATTATCACATGAAAAATGTTCCTTAAGATTTTGTTCTCTTACTAGTTATTTGCCTAATTTTGTATTTTAGGCTATTAAAAATGTGCTTTTATTCTTTTAATGTCTGCCTATTAGTTTTAAATTTGGAGCATGGTGTATGTGTGTGTGTGTGTGTGTGTGTGTGTGTGTATAAACACACATTCACACTGTCTACATGTGTGTATACACACACATACATAAATGACCACGTGTGTGTATGCATGTGTGTATATAAGCTTATTACAATTAACTGTTTTTTTAACAGTTCTTTGAACATGACAGCTCATCTAGATCATTCCCTATATTAAACTTTGGTTATGTTCCTTCAATAGTTATTCGGAGAAGTGGGTTCCACTGCAGCGGTTTACTGATTTACAGAATCTTGGTATGTGAATGGCAAAAATTCCTTGGCATAAGTATGTTTGCTGATCAAATTTCAAATCATGTGTTGTTCATTATTATGACTTGCTCAAAAACAGTTTGCTATAGTTATGTGCCTCAGATACTTTTTCCTCATTAAATACACTGAAAACAACAATTTTGGGAAGAGAGGAAGAAACATATATCAATCCTTTTCTGTGTCTATACATTGTC